TAATGCTTCTACACGTCTGTGTGATGGACTGAGTCCTGGAAAGGCTGGGCTGGCAGGCCCTGTTCCCGATGTATTGGCCTCTAGGAGCGCTAGTGAGCAGATCGGGGGGGCGAAGAGTTCCAAAGGCAAGTTTAAAGGACTTTCCCTTTGTGCTGAAGCGGAGAGCAGCTTCAGGGGGGGCGAGGCTGGTGGGAGGCGCCGTTCCAGAAGGAGGAAGGCCAAGCCAGCTGGGAGCCCCGAGCAGTGTTTTTCCACTGGAGTTCAACATCTGCGTGGCAGTTGCCCCCACCGGAGCACACAGGCGCGGCAGGATGTTGGCAAGGACACTTTGCACATTTCTCATGGGAACCAGTCGGGTTTCCATGGCAACAGGCCTGGGAAGACAGGCAGGCGTGGAACTGAGCCAGGTGGCCGTGGTAAACAACGGGAAGAGTCTTATCAAGTCTCGGCGAGCATGGCAGTGTTTGAAGACGGCCGAGTGGAAAGTTCCGAGATGGCCTTTGTTATTGACTCTGCAGCTAACCGCAACATGGTTCCAGAGACCCCTGCAGTCGAGAGGTGGAATTGCACGGCAGTTCCGAAGGGACAGACTATTAAGTTTGCAAATGGACAGAAAACTAGAGTTTCCTCGTGTACTAATGCCTATCTTTCTATTTTACAGGAGACGGTGAATTTATGTATTGTTCCAGAGATTCAACATTGTTTGTTATCTGTGCCTTATTTGTTAAGTAAGGGGTTCAAAGTTTGTTTTGAAAACGATGTCTGCACGATCTCCAAAGGGGGGAGGTTACTGGCCAAAGTGCGGAAGGGACAGAATGATCTTTTCATTCTTAAAACGTCTCTTGGAGGTGAGGGGAAGGTTGAGAAAGCACAAGCGTTGCGTGCTACAGTTCCCAACCAGCGTGCTACAATTCCCGCTCATAATGTTACATGTGCATGCGTATGGCATCAGAGAACGATTCACAATCCTTTAGAGGATTTGCAGGTGTTACCTGAGGTTGTTACAGGTTGTAAGATTAAAGATTGTCAAAGTGCCATTAATTGTGACACTTGCAAGCTAGCAAAGGTAAAAGGATGCAGTTACCCAAAGGTGGAACGTGTAGCCACTAAACCTTTTGAGCTAGTGCACATAGATTTGTCCGGTCCTGTCAAGGCACCAAGTCTAGGGGGGGCCAGGTTTCTGCTCGTTTTTCTGGATGATTTCTCGCAGAATTCCTGGGCTCACGGTCTTAAATCCAGGGAGGATGCAGCACGGCTGATCAAGAGCTGGATTGAAGGGGTGGAACAGAGGTTCTCCACCAGGGTTCAAGCTATCATCAGTGACAGAAATGCTAAGTACACTGGTTCTGCTTTGCAGGAGTTCTTTCACAAGAAAGGGATACGACACACAGTCATTTCACCCCAGCAAGGTGGGGTGGCAGAGCTGCGAAGTGGAGCTCTGGTTCAGGCTGCACAGGTGTTGCTGAAAGATTCTGAGTTGCCTCCAAGGTTTTGGCTGGAGGCAATCAAGTATGTGAGCTTCACCTGGAATCGTGTCTATAACTCATTGGTAGGTGACACACCGTTTTCTTTGTTAAATGGCCGAAAACCCCAGGTTCACTTTCTGCGGACGTTTGGGACCCCTGCGCTTGTCTCTGTGCCTGAGGCTTTGCGAGGGCCAGATGGAGCCAAAGTCCAGAAAATGATCTTCTGTGGGTATGAGCCAGAAGCCCGTGCATGGAGGTTCGCATTTCCATCAGGTGATCAGAGTAAGTTACTGATCAGTAAACACGCTGAGTTCTTTGAGCAGAGTGAGAAGCCAAAGTTTGTTTTCCAGCGTGATCTTCTCTCAGATTGTCTCTCTGACCCAGAGGACAGTTGTGATGAGGAGGAAGGAGAGGCTGAGCCTGCTGATGAGGACCAGGTCCAGGATCAGGGTTCAGAATCCGATGATGATGATCAGTTCACTGACCAAAGTCAGGAGCAAAGTCAGGAACAGGAGGAGGTATCTGTAATTTCTCCACAGGTTAAGAGAACACCCAAAAGCGAGCCCAGTTCTCCTGTGAGTGTAATGGAGAGGATTCGAAGACGTTTTAAGTCAGAGGGGGAATCCCGTGAGGCTGAGGACACAGGTTCTGGTGGCAGTGAGTCAGAGGTAACATCTGAGTTTGTGCCCAGAAGGTCCAGTCGCTCAACGAAGGGCATTCCGCCAGAGAGGTATCAGGCCACAGGTGCGTGGGTAAATTTCGCACAGTGCGTTTCTGAAAGTTGTGAGGTGGTTCCACAAATGCCAAACAGGTTTGCCAAGGGAAGGCGCAAGGCATTGGGGAAGGAATTGATCTCACAAGGTGTTACTGAAAGGGTTCAACAGGTGCCTGGGAAAAATGCCGGAAAGGGGCACAAGGCAAAGGGAAAGGTGTTGAACTCAGAAGAGTCTTGTCAGAATGGGCGGCAAAGGGGGGTGTTGGGATTGGAACTTAACAGGTTAAGTTTTTCCCATGGTGCCACACCATTCTGACGTCAGTTTTCGAAGGTGGGAGGAGTCGAGTTCAGTTCTCTCTGTGCTTTGAGAGAGAGGGACATGCTTTGCAATGGCTGCCAGCAGTGATGGCTGAAACGTTCCAATAAATAGCTGTAAATAGACAAACTTGCCTCTGTGTGTTTGTCTGGAAGCTAAGCTAAGGACGTAAGGCTGTTTTACATCGCTGTGCTTCAACTCTGCTACTGGCGTGACTGGACGAAAGAGCGACGGAGCAGAGGTGCTCAGAGGAAGTGTGCCGGACCTGCCGGGCTGCTATAAATCGCTAATTGTGGACCAATAAATCAATTAGCGGGGGTCGCGCCAGACCAATAAATCGTGTTATGCACATTTTTATCTCCCTACTATCTTATATTTATACAATACAAGGATCAGTCTAGTTCTGCCAAGATGTTTCCTTTTATACCATAGTTTTTAAAGTATTCTTTAAAGATTCTCCACTCCTTATCAACTTTTTGTTTTGGTTGGCCTCTTATCCTTCCTGTCACCTTCGCTAGCTGCAGATATTCTACCATTAGGTTTTGCCAGTCTGCCGTATTGGGTATTGTTGTATTTTTCCAATTTCTTGCTACTAAAATTCTGGCTGCCGTTATGCCGTACATGAACAATGTTCTTTTTGATTTCCCTATTTCTTTTGGCAGGATGCTTAATAAAATATTTCTGGCCTTTTTTTAATGTAAATTTAAATAGTTTTTAAAGTTCTTCATATATATTATTCCAAAATACACAAATGTCTGTACACTTAAACCACATATGCAAATAAAACCCAATTTCTCTGTTACATCTCCAAAGTATAGGTGATCTATTCTTATACATTTTAGCAAGTTTTTCTGGATTTTGGTGCCATCTGTACATCATCTTCATTGTGTTTTCCCTGAGGTTATAACAGGCCATGAATTTTGTGTCTTCCTGTCATAATTTTCCCCATTGTTCCATGTAAATATTATAACTCAGATCTTGTGCCCATCTCACCATTACAGTTTTCACTTGTTCTTCCTTTACTTCCCATTCTAATAGGAGGTCGTATACCCGCGATATATATTTTCCTTTACTTTGTATCAATTCTTTTTCAAATTTTGATGTTTCTTTTGCAAGTCCTGCTTTCTTATCAATGATTAATCTTTGATGTATTTGAAAATATTGCAGCCAATCTGTTAAATGCCCCTTAATTTCTTCATATTTTTTCAGTGTAGGCTCCTCCTGTCACCCTTCTAATAATAATTGGTATGTGGCCCATTCCCTTTCCATATTCTTTTTCTTAACTGCCTGCGCTTCTTTAGGTGAGGTCCACAGGGGGATCCTGGGTTCTAGTATTCCTTTATATTTTGTTCAGATCTTATATAATGATTTCCTTATTAGATGATTCAAGAAGCCCCTTCACCTTCTCATATATTAAATAGGCATGCCACCCATACCGATTATCATATCCCTCCAAATATAATACATCAAAGTCCCTTAATGTTATCCAATCTAATATACAGTAATACTTTTTTTAAAATCTAAAAGTACATAAAACAAATTCAGAGATTTCAAGCATGCAGAAACAGGCAGGGAAATCCTGAGGACAGCATGCGCTAAATGTTTTGCAAATTGGCATTTCCCAGCCTGTGGGTCACAACCTGCAAGTGGGTTGCAAATCCTTTGCAAGTGGTCATGGGCTTTACAATTTATGCTTTGATTCCTCATGTAATTGTAAAACTTGCAGTTAAAGTGCACGAAACTGATGGCAGCCAAATCCATGTGACAATAAATCAATGAATCACCATGCCAAGATGATTTAGACTTGAGAAAAAACTATTATAATTTTTATGAGAATTATAAGGTCTAAGATATAAAATAAATGTTCATAAATGTACCAGGCAAACACATACATAAGTATATAAACCACATGTCTGAAACAGTATAGGAAAACAGTCCTAAAGCCATTTTGAGTCTTTCAGTGACTTCAAATATTCCTCTGCAGTTTGGATGGAAATAGGAAAAGCCTCCCCATTGTCTCTGTGCTCACAAATCCTGCCTTAAGGGCACATTTGTGTATGAATAGGGTGAGCCTGTGACCAGGACTCAGGAATTAAATATTTATCATCACAAAAGAATGGCCAGGCTGTCCAGGTAAACCCATTAACAGGTATCCTGGCAGATAGGATTTCTGCTGTAGACTGCCTCCTGTGATGTATGTATGATGTTTTTTTTTTTGGGGGGTGGTCTTAAGCTACAGGATGGGCAATTTCAAAAGTCTATGTAAGGGCTTGTACACCATTGTTCAGGGTTCTCCTCCTTCCTGCATGTGGTGAGTGGGGGACCCTGTTGCAACTGTTTAATAAATATCAGGCTTACTAGCCACTTTGCTTCTCAATATACTCTGGTTGGCCTCTGTTATTTTCTCCTAAGGACTTTATATGGGCTCTAGGATACCCCATAAGGGAAAATGAGCATTTTTTTCTTATAACAATAACAATGTAATAAAAATATTGCTTCTTACCCCTAAATTTCACTCTTGAGCAGTGATGAGTAGCAAGATCTCTTTCATATCCTTCAGATATATGAAAGAATGCCTCCTTCCATACCAATCCGGGAACTGAGATTTGCAAAACAGGCCCTATTTGCAGTTTCATCTTCTGCTGAAGTTCAATGCATGGGCACTCCTGGGAAGGCCTTCTTAGTGGTAGTTCCACACTTATGGGATGTTTCCTTTGCCATTTGCTTTTTTTAACAACCAGCAGCCTCTTATCCAGCATTGCTAATAGTAAAATAAATAACAACAAAATCAGTACAGTTTTGAATACAGTGGTTAAAATCCATGCAGTTTAGACAGATTTAGTCCACTATCTTGATTCAAAACGGCATCTAGTTGTATCTAAATATAGACCAAGAAAACCCTGCTATTTGATCTCAATAATCATCATGCAAAAGTTTTGTTAAAATCATTGCAGTTTGGGAAGATTTAGTCTTGATTCAAAATGGCACCCAGTTGTATCCAAACATAGACATAAAACTGCCCTTTGATCTTAGGAGCCATCATATAAAATATGCTTATGGTATGTTACATCTAAATCTGATATCTAAAATCACTTTCTCAAATATCATCAAAATGTGTGATGTAGTGCTTCAAGTGTTGGACTGGGACCTTGGGAGACCAGGGTTCAAATTTCTACTCAGCCATGAAGTTCACTGGATCATTGACTATATCTCTGCCTCACCTGTCTCACAGGGTTGTGGTGAGGATGAGGAAATGAGAAGTGTGCATGCTACCATGAGCTCCTTGGAGGAAAGGTAGGGTATTAAATGGTAAACAAATAATAAAAAATAATATTATATAAATCCAACCCCCCAAGCAAACAAAGGAAAGAGTGTCAGATAAACCAATCCTCAACACAGACCCCTTTCTTACTTGGTGTAGCAAAAGTCTGCATAAATAGAAAAATCTTCACTAACCCCAAACGGGCACATAAGAATAGCTGTTTGAACCTCAAGGAGCAAAGTATTGCAGAATGTGCACAGCCAACTGAATGCTATTTTTTTCCATTTTCGTTTTATTTAACAAAATGTAAAATACTGATTAATTGTAGTAAAGCCTCTTAAGTGGTGTATTAAAAATATAAAAATGATCAATTAAAACAGCTAAAAAAATAAAAAAACTTAAGGTTAATTAAAAGGCTGCAGTCTATGTTAGACCTACTCAGAGTAGACCAATTGAATTTAATGGGCATGACTAAAGTAGGTCCATTAATTTAAGCAGGTTTACTCTTAAGTGAAAAAAACCATAAAACTAGCAACCCAACAGTGAAGCATTTTAAGATTGTTTTACAATTGTCTTTCATGGTCATTTTTGTAAGTAATACAGGTGTTGTAACAGTGATGATGTCCTCATCACTACAGAGGAAGCTCGCCAATCATTTACCTCAGGTTGGGCCTAAAATAGCTCCCTCAATGCTAACTGTGACCGGGAACTTTTGGATAAACAGGGTTAAAATTTACTTAAAAGTAGGATAAAGACAGGGATTTCAGCATAAAGTACAGTGGTACCTCGGGTTAAGAACTTAATTTCGTTCTGGTGGTCCGTTCTTAACCTGAAACTGTTCTTAACCTGAAGCACCACTACTTTACGCTAATGGGGCCTCCTGCTGTTGCTGTGCCGCCGCCGCCACACAATTTCTATTCTCATCCTGAGGCAAAGTTCTTAACCCAAGGTACTGTTTCTGGGTTAGTGGGAGTCTGTAACCTGAAGCACCTGTAACCTGAAAGTGTCTGTAAACCCGAGGTACCACTGTAATTTAATGAAATACTAATATTAGTGATAGCGAGCCAAGTAGCTGAGGTAGAATGTGAAGTGGCAGAGGTTCACCAAAATGGCCACCAATTTGAAAAACAAGTTGGAAACTACTAACAGGAAAGAAAATAAGGGAGGAAAGAGAGATGTTCAGGGTGTACACAAGGAAATCACCCTGTTTCCCCAGGTGTGATAAGGAAAACAATATAAAAAAATAAAATATTTTTAAAATAACCAGTCACATTGTTCTTCCTGCATGCATGATGGCTGATAGCCGGCCCGTCTGAAAACGGATAGGTGCAATGTCTTGCTGGACTTTAGCAGAGGAAAATTGAGGGCGACTGAATGAAAGCTCTACAATGGCTGTTTTTAATCTAGCCGAGACCAACAGAGCCAAATAGAGCGGCAAACATGCTCCACAGAAAACAATCCTTCACCCTTCAAAGAAAAAAATTCCCTGAAAATAAAATCACTTTCGGGTTCCAGGGCAATTCTGAAGCTCATCTTGACTCTCTTCATGTCCCCAAAGATGTTCTGTGGCCATAGAAGGAAGTATATTGGAAAAACCTTTCCCAACAGTTTCTTTTCATTTGCAAACTCCTCCAAATACATAAAACATCTCTTATGAATAGGGGAGGTCTGTAACAATAGACTCAAGAACTGAGGTATTACCATTTCCAATTGTTGTGTATTGAGTCAAAGGATTTTATATCTGTATTATTATTATTGTCTGTATTTGCATTAGGGTAAAGTAACTGTCTTTTGGTTCCAGAGGGTACAGCTACTATTGGTTCATTTAAGCTGCTGTATTTGGATCCTCTGTCTTATTGGTTTCCTCCAAAAGGCAGGACTGTGATTGCCTGATATTGTTCCCCTCCAAAATGTATCCTTTCTAGCTAGTTCCCTGTCCCTATAAATGTAGCTCTTCCTCCTCAAGTTTGAGTCTTGTTTGCTTTAATAAAGAAGTGTTACTAGAGAACTGACTCCAGCATATTATGTCAAGAGAGCTGAAATCACAAACCCCACGTCACAACACAAATAATGGCCTAGACTGTCTAGAAGAGGCAATCAGCAAGCACTATCAGATGTCTTGACAGATCAGGCTCGGGAATTCTCCTCCCCACCCCTACCCCCATCCCTTGGCAGCAAGAAGTAGAGAAAACAAGGGAGAGAGTCCTTTTTAATGAGTTTATTCATTCATAATAGTGAGAGACAAGAATGCAGTATGCCCTGATAATGACGTTGCTCCAACTGAGCTCCTCCTCCCTCCTCTCTAGCAACAGCATTTCCCCTTACAGTGGCCGCTCATGGCCAGTTGTCTCGGAGTCCCTTGTTCCTGTACAAATGCCAATTTCTGGGAGAAGGGGGTCAGAAATATTCTCCAGTGACAACGTGTCTCTTTCTGTTTGATGCTTTTGGATGATCTTTAACTAAGGGGCTGGGCAATTTAAAAGTTGTTACAGTGGTACCTAGGTTCTCAGATGTCTCTGTTGATGAATGTTTTGGAACCCGAATGACGAAAACCTGGAAGTAAGTGCTTACGTTTTTGAACATGCCTTGTAAGTCAAATGGCTTCCGCTGCGTGTTTTTCAATTTTCACATTTGCAGCCAGCCGTTTGTGCCTCAGTTTTCGAATATTTCAGAACTCGAACAGTCTTCTGGAACGGATTATGTTCGAGAACCAAGGTACCACTGTACACACATCTGGGTCCTCACCTCCTTGCAAGGCGGGGAGGGAGAGGAACTCTTTTGCAATAGACTTTAAAGATCTGCTTTGCTTTGACTGCTTCCTGCCTCTACTCTTTCTTCTCTGTCCGATAATTAACTTAGGGGATACTGGGTCACTTGATGGGGAGTTGGGCTGTAAATACTAACCCCAAATTTTTATTATATCAAGCTGGATGCAATATTTCAGTAATGACATGCTGCGGGGGAGGGGGGGACAACCAGTCCTCTACCAGTTATGCTTAAAAGGGGAAAACCCAAAATGCTGAAAGGGACAAACTCCCGCTTTCGGTATACACCGTAGCCTGAAAGTAACATCCTCTTCACCTGTTATCCTGGGGGCAATAGGTCCCTTCTGTTGTCTTAGGGTCAAGCCACACACTGCAATAGGCACACTTACTCACCAAAAGTATGCTTAAATTTCATTCTTGGAGAAAAAACAGCTGTACAGTGGTACCTTGTGTTACAGGCGCTTCGGATTACATACGCTTTAGGTTACAGACTCACTAACCCAGAAATAGTACCTCGGGTTAAGAACTTTGCTTCAGGATGAGAACAGAAATTGTGCAGCGGCGGCACGAGGCAGCAGGAGGCCCCATTAGCTAAAGTGGTGCTTCAGGTTAAGAACAGTTTCAGGTTAGAACGGACCTCCGGAACGAATTAAGTACGTAACCAGAGGTACCACTGTAGTTGTTTGTTCACTAGGCATTTGACAAATCACTGGGATATCGTAACCATATTTTTGCGTGGCAGCTCCTGAGATAGTAGATAACCTTCCCTTTGCTTCTAGTCTGTAAACGTTGTACACTGTAAAGGTTCCTTGTTTTATTTTTCCATCCCGATTTTGTTGCATTATAGCTCTAAAGTTGCCCCTCAGGTGGTAACACTGGGAAAGCACAGCAGAACAACTAACAGAGCAGAATGACGTGCGGACGGCCTGGTATAAATCAACCGCTGATGCACTATTGTTGTGGCTATGACACATTGCAGCCAATACACTGGGGTACGGGGTCATTCTGGAGGGTCCCCATATTCAAAGGCTGCCCTGATCTTCCTGCCATTCAAATAAAGAGCGACACAATATACTACTTTATTTATTCATTTAAAGAGGGGAGGATGGGGAGGAATAAGCATTGCTCACGACACATCCAGCCAAAATGGCATTCTTTCAGGTCATAAATGTCTCAAGGCAAGGACATTGTGTGTCTCCCTACCCATGCCCCCCATGTGCCCCCTGACCCCCCCCCAAGAATCACAGCCAGAGGCCCAGGAATTACAAGAACAACCTAGCTTGCTAGAGGGGGGGGCAAAATATGAACAAAAATATTTTAAAATCTGCATTTGATGTGACAGATGAGTTCCTTCTCTCTCCCTCTCCTTTATTCTTTCTTTCTTTGATCAAGAAAGAACAAGTACAAGGCTCCAGTAGATTTTTCGCTGCTGAGTGAAAAGGACCCTCAGGCATCCCTTTCAACCTTCATGGATGTTTAACAATGGCTTTTAATGCACTTTTAAAGGCACTTGGAACCCTACCGAGCAGCGGGCTTTCTGGTGGGGGGGGGGAGAATGCCAAGCCCAAGGATCTCGTTCTCTGATGAAGCCTCAATGGATTTGGGCGATAAGACACAGAGCTCTGTTTTGGACTAAGTTACATGGGGGAGAGGCAGACATATTTCTATGGTGATCCAACTGACAGCTATACCCTGCACTTGCACCCGTATTCTGGAGTTCAAAGTAGGAACGAGGAAGATGCTTCTTCTGGGTTGCAAAACTGGACCAGGGAAGGCATATATACGTGATTGAAGTGAACAGGTACGAAGGGCAGGCACAAAGCGGAAGCAGCAGCACGCTAGGGACTAGGAACCTGCGCCGTTTATAATGCAGAAGCTGAGATTCTCAGGAAGCTGCCTTTATCGCAGCCAAATTCTGTGGCTTTTTTGCATTCCACCACACATGCATATCCCACCAATTTCACGTGTGCCCTAGGGCACTTTGTAATGTCACCCTCTAGGATTCGAGGTGGGGAATCACCACTGTCCTTTTTCTGTCTGTCCACCTATCTGCGCCCCAAATAGGAGAGAGGTATATATTTTTTTCTGCCCCCTCAGAGGTGCCTCAGAACGGACCTGCCTTGCACGGAAGGATGTATTTTGAGCCGCATACCACAGAGTCTCGCCAGGCACAACGTGACAGGATATGAACAAGCCCTCTGAGAATTTATCCCAGCTCACACTAAAGATTTCTTACACCCAACGAACCGTCCGCATGATATAACCGCCTGCCTTTCACTCTCCTCTCTGGATCTCACAAACTCTCCTTTAATATAAAGATAGT